AAAATAAAATAAAAATAAAAATACCTGGAGAAAATGCCGAACAAATAAAAGACAAAATAAAACCAAGAATTAACTATTAGACAGTTTTGTAAACACAAGGGCATCAATATGACAGGCTGGTTTCGGAAAATAAAAGTCTCTTCATTTAGGAAAAGAATTTAAGGTGCCCATAATGCTACTCGATTTGTACTCAAGTGTACAAGTTTTTTTTTCTTATTTAAAGTTACAAACCATTTGTGTTTTTTTTCTCCTTCTTCAACAGTTTTTCTGCTCTCCATAATTAAAAATATATATATTTAAAGGAGGATTCCTGAAAAGTCAACACATAATTATTTCAAAAGGTATCCACTCCACAAACGTTTCTTGGCAAAGGAAATATATATCTTTTTCCCCATCAACAAAGTTCTTCTACCATGGAAGGATCGAAGTGGATGGGGGGGAGGAAATAATTCTCTCTCACCAGTGAAATGATGCTATGAAATGTATATTTAATACATAATTACCCCAAGTTGAAAAGAAACACACACACAAACACGCGCACACACAAAGAAATGCTTCTGTGTGTTCACAAAACACGGATGTTGCTGTTTCGTCTTGTCTTTTTAAAAGGTTTGTGCACCAGAAAGTGCGAGAGAGAAAAATTATATCTGAAGGACGCGCCATGTTCATTGGAAACTTCTGTGCTGTTGGTCCACTTTTGAGATTTAATGGGGGGGGGGAGGGAAATTAATACAGGGATAAAAAAAGGGAAGAGGAAACAGAAATGTAAACACTTCGGAGGGGAGAACCCTGAAATTTCAAGAGTCTAACTGGGTAGAATGGAAAAATACTGGTTATCCTTTTCATCTCCGGTCTGGCTCCTGTGTCTTTAAATGCTAGCTAGAAAGATATACTGTCATTTCATAGATATATCTATTACTTTCTCCAGTTCAGGAACCGGCAACTCGCATGCGTGTCTGTGTACACACAAATGCACACATCTGCTTTTAAAGGTAGAGGAGCACAGCAAGAAAAAAAGTTGGCAGTCCTGGATAGAGAATTGACATCTTCTCCCTCCTGAAAAAAGGGATTTACTCCCGCGCGTTGCAAGGCTGGCAGGAGCGCCTAAGACAGCGCAGAGGGGTTCGTGCCAGGGGAAATCCCAGTCGAGGAGACCACGTATTTGCCCCGCAAAAGAATGATGCCACAGCCGGGCTTCCAGGTCAAATAGGACTCAGATTATGGAAACGGTGGGGGGGGGTCAGGGAGTCAGTAGCTACTTACCCGCTGCTTTGGCTCATGTGGTAGTTAAGCGCTAAAGTAACCCCCAGGGCAATCAATCCTCTGAATTGATTCTTTTGGCCTAATTCAGAGCAAGCCTCCGCACATGGAGACAAAATACAGACCTTTGGTAGCGAAGCACTTTTCTCTAGAACCCCCCAAATACCGGCCAGAATCTTACTGTGTTCCACGAGCGCTTGAAGAGGAATCAGGCAAGCGACAGGAGAACTTGCCAGCCGGCTGTTACACACGCCCTGGAGTCCTCTAATTGTGTGCCTGCGAAAGCCATGCCACGACACACACACCATATTTCACGAGAGGGGCTCCGGTCATGATGGTGAATAACAATAATAAAATAAGGTGCCTTTGTTTCACCAGCCTGCCTGTGAAACACAGGAGGACTCCCATTGTCTGCGGGATCAGGATCGGCCATTCCACTGATGCACGGTTTGAAAATATTAAAAATATTAGAAGAAAAAAAAAATCCCGGAAAATAATTGTTTTCACGTTTTACCAGATGCGGCCACTAGAGGGAGCTACAGACCATGAAATGAATACTTGTCAGTGAAAAGCATGGTCTATGTCCCCCCTCTAGTGGCCACTTATGGTAATGCATGCAAAACATTCTTTTTCTGTTTCTTTTTATTTGGACCATTCTATACATATATAGCATCCACTATTATCACTGCTTCCAGTATCCACAGGGGGCTAGGAACGAATGCCCTACTGTATATATACAGTATAAAACATACAAGGTGGACGGACAAAGGCCACAATGGGGTGTTCTTGCATGCTGGGCTTTGGTATACCATGTGTAAGTGAAACTGCAGATATTGGTTCTGTGGATACAAGAGTCCTACTGTCATTCCCACAATGTGTGCCAGATCCTGTTTGAAATTTACTCATTATAAGCCTCTTCAACTACCAACATACCACTGAATATCTGACCATTCCAGATATTTTGGATTACAACTCCCATAAGCCCCAACTATTAGGGCAAGGAATTTTGGGATCTGTAGTCCAAACGTGTGGAGGAGCAAGGGTTCCCCACCAGTCAAAGCTGTATCAAGACCGGGTGTGTGTGTGATCTGGGGGAATGAGATCAGAGACACTTGGTCAGGATCCCACCATTTCATTGGCTTAACACACACACACACACACAACGTGCTCATGTGAACGGGGGGCCTCCATGGGTAACATAACACACACACACACACACACACGTGCTCAGGTGAACGGGGGGCCTCCATGGGTAACATGGGCTTTGTAGTGGTGGAGGAAACCAAGCTTTTTCTAGGATCGAGAACTAGGCCAACGGGAGTGAAGATTTAGAAAGTCACAACTAGAGGACAGAGAAATACATGCAAAGTAGGGATTAAATAAATAACCTGAAATAAGGAGATATCCCCCCCCCCACTATCAACCCAAGTTCTGAAGGAGGACAGATCCTGGTAGAATTTAAAGCCCTTTGTGGCAATCAAAAACAAATCTTCCAAAGCTTTACCTTAAAGACTCTTCACTTAAAGCGGAATTCCCTAAACACGAGTTCTGTTCATCGCCTACCTCGAATTCAAGTGATTTTGCACACATAAAAATGCATAATTGTAGGATATAATTCACTTCCTATATGAAGTCAAGGGTGACCATTTTCCTGCCGACCATTGTTTACATCTTCACGGATATTATGTTTTAAACATAGGTTTGGGTTGCTTGTGTGCCTTGATGATCTTAATTTATAAAGTCCCCTCCTTCCCTGAGAAGCTCAGGATAGTGTACATGGGCTTATTTTAATTTTCCTCCCTCACAAAAATTCTGTGAGGTAGATTTGGCTGAAAAACTCAGTTAAATTGCTCCAGGACACCCTTGGACCTCTGCAGTGGAGTGGAGGATTCAAACTCAAGTCTCCCTGAAGCCCCACACCATGTCCACAGTAACATGTGGGTGTATCTTTCTCAGCCCCCCCTCTCTTTGGATCAATGAGGACTAAACACTTGATAAGTGTTTCAAGAAACCAGGACTTAAAGAGACAAAGGCACAAGATTTACAGAAGTCTTGCCCAAGTCAGCCTTTTTTAGATGACATTAAACCAAGTCCCCAAAAACATGATGCATCAGGGGCCAAAATCCTGTTGGTGAGCGCAGCAACTTGCTCTAGAGTAGCCCCACTGAATCCATGCAACATAGGGAGTGGATTCTCTAAATCCCCAATGGTTCAATGCACTTTAGAATGGTTTACTACACAAAGCTACAGGGTTTTGACCATGATCTGCTCCTATGTTTATGAACGGGACCAGCGCCGTGTCCTTGCTAAATTGACTTAAATTTGAAACTTTGGTTCTGATGGAAATTGCCGCCAGCCACGAAATTTACTGCATTCACGGAAGGCCCAGCGTTCAACTTTAGTCCTTCTTGCCAAGCAAACCAACCAACCAAACACGCAGGTCAAGATGATAAAACTGGGGCAGCCAAAACATCCTCTAGGATCGCGCCCGTTCTCATGGAAAGAAAAAGCAAACTAATCCAGCGACAGAGAAATACAGTCTTCATCTCGATTCATCCTCTCTGGCCGCATTCCTATGAAACCACTGCAATATTTCCCTTTAAAAATAACAGCTTGCCATACATACAGAAAAGAGAGGATAATAGTTCAGAACCGTTAACACTCAAAAAGTATTCCCTGGGAAGGGCTTTGAAGAGAAGGAGACAAGCAAGCACCAAATATATTATTTTTAAATTAAATAGTATGTACATAGTAAGTATTGTTCTCAAGAGACTGCTTTGAAGGTCATGTAGATATCGTCATTTGAAATTTCTTTCAACCATGGATGAGGAACGCAACAGGGTGTAGGTATGAAGGAAATAATCTCCACAGTAGACCTGGGAATAATTAATAATTCCGTAATTAAGGAACCACAGTTCCAAAGCCTCCAGTCAATTAAGAATACTTTGATTCGTTTCTTTGCGATGCACACGATGCAAAAGATTCACGCGCACTCTGAAGGGATTCACGCGCACTCTGAAGGCAGTTGAGCTGCGCCTTCTGACATCACGGAAAAAAAATGTTTTTGGGAAGTGCATCTTAACCCTTTCCTAGGACGGCTACCTTGACGGCACCCATTTCGTGACCAAACAAACATTTACAGGGATGAGCATGTACAGGATGACCCCCTTATCCGCAGAATTGGCATCCACAGTTCGGTTATCCACAGTTCACCACAGCCCTGTATACAACACACAAAAGGGCAGGCCTTCCCTCCTTCTGTCCTGTCTCCTTCTATGCTGTATATAGGGTTTGCTACTATCCGCGGTTTCGGGCATCCGTGGCACATTGTGGAACAGATCCCCGTGCGGATATGGGGGCCGCACTGTATCTCACAAAGACATAGGTGGTTTAGCAGCAACATCTAGCGTCTTTAAGAAGCACTTAAGGTTTTGGTATATGCAAGTGAAGACAGAAAGTATATAGAGGAAGACAGAGGTAATTACTAAAAGGATGAATTCAGAGGTAGAACTGGGGAAGGTGTGGTCTGCTCAGAACATTAACATCCAAGTAACCATTCAAGGATCTCATCCATGGGCAGATCTACATGTCAAAACCACGGAGCACCCAGAACTGTGCATGGCAATTATTTTTGTGCACAAAGGACCCCCTTCATTTACAGACTGCTCAGAACATTAACATCCAAGTAACCACTCAAGGATGTCATCCATGAGTGGATGTCAAAACCACTACATGTCAAAACCACAGAGCACCCAGAACTGTGCATGGCAAATATTTTTGTGCACAAAGGATGCCCTTCATTTATAGACTTCCTTTCAAGTACATATCCTCACACTGTTTTCGTATCTGGAAAATAGCAGCCTACCTCTTTGGGTTATTGATAGTGATGGGATGGTTTCTGGAACCATCATTCCAGATGCACTCATCTTACCCTCTCGCAGATTATCAATTAGTAAACTCTAATGAAAAAGCGGAGGGGGGAAAGTATCAGTTTCTAATTAACTGGGATTTTCCAATTCCCACTGTTTTCCGGCTAATCTGAGTACCATCTTCTCCCCAGGAAGAGAGAGAGAGAGACTTAGATTAGGACATAAAAGCCACCGTAAAGAAACATATACTTTTGAGGGAGAACTCCACCTGGGAGCTGTTCTGCTCTTCCCTGGCTTTACCAACACGCGACGTACGTATTCGCCGGCTTACAACAGATTCGTTGAGTGGATGAACCCCACATGAAAGATTTTTTAATTAATCGGGAGGTGCGTATGGGAAAAAGAAAAAAAAAGAACTACAGAAAGAAAGAGGGGGAAAATCATTCTTTTCAAAGGAGACGCACACAATGAATTCCATTCAACACAGCCTTTGTGCTCCCCGCTGGGCTGCCGTGAGTCGCAAGGTTCACCATGTTTGGATTGGAAACTCCATGAAAGGCAAAGTGGGTGGGTGGGCAATTTAAGAGACCCTCCCTGCTCCCCGCCAGGAGCTCCCAGGTTTTCTCCGTTCCTTCATTGGACTAGATCCGAGAAGAAAGAGGAGAGAACGCGAAGATTTGATCAGCCTCTTTCATTCAGCAAGAAATATTTACTGCCTGTGAAGCTATCCCTTAAACGCTCAGCCCACCCAACAGAACGAAGCAAGGGTGGCTTTTCAGTTCAGCCTCGTGCCACACTCTGGAGGTAGCCGGACAGGAAACGTACGGACCAACCAAATTTTGGGGACTCGTTTATGGGGCCTGTTTATCCATCAAGGAGTATCAGGTTCGTTAGAGACAGGGGACCAAAGAGCAGGCCCCCGAGATCCTCTGTCGCATGCATGATTTTCATCGATTTCCGTTCTTACAAAAGGATGCTTCAGGTAAATACAGAACCCCCCCTTTTTTTCTCTCTCTCCGCTTTTTATCCCAGAAGGATTCAGAAGAACACGGTGGGATTCAGACCTTTTAAGACAGGTCTGCACCTAGGGGACGTCATTTAGTCGTCCGCATTTCAGGAACCCCGTTCGGGCCCCTTGTTTTACGAAGAGGGGCTCTTCCAAAACCACCTGTCCGTTTGGCCCGAATGGAGGAAACGTGTGAGGAAGTGGGTTTATCCTTTCAAGCAGGGAGAAAACCCTTGTCACCACGCCGAGTAACCCTCCAGCTTTGGAACAGATCCTTTCCAGAATGTCAGCCCTACCAGAGACTGGTCCCTGGGTTGTCAGCGAAGCTTGTAAAAAAACCATAAACATACGCTAGAGACCAGTACGAACGATCAGATTTAAAATTCCCACGCCATCTCTAGGCGGTCGTCATGAACATGATACAACGGGCCAGAAAGTTGCCCACATGCCAGGTACGGGTGCCGATATAGAGAATGACGGCTCCTCCCTTTCATGATCACACGCGCGTGCACATACACACCCAAATGATGAGTCCACCCCCCCCGTTTCCCACTGCTCCTCCACTTTGCGTTTCAACACCTACTCTCTGAAAGAGGGGTTTACAACTCCGCAGGACGGGGCTAATGAGTGGTCGGGGAAGTCCATGCTAAGATCACAACACACGCTGGGTAGATTCCTTTACGGAGAAAACAGGAGACTAGGGTGGGGGTCGAGGGTAGGAAGAACGCAGAGGCCTGACTAGCTCTAAGGGTTCAAACTTGTCTTCTCGAGAAGGTTCATAGACAGGAAAAAAAAAAACCCAAGTGATCGCTTCAAAACTAAAAAAAAGAAGGAGTAACCACTAGTGACCAAATTGTTTGGAGTCACCATCACAAGATACAGAGAGAAAAATAAACACAGCCATGAGGTATATTCTTACGGTCCACAAATGTCAAGCCACAGTGGATCAGGATTTTGAAAGAGCATCTGGGGGCACATCCTTCCCCCCCCCTCCACGTTCATGGTTCCTGCCCACCTCGTGCCTCCCGAAACCCAGGCCTCTTTCCCACGGGCCCGCCGCAAGCCTTGGATTTTAAAAAAAACAAACCCAGCTCTCTTCCCACTGCTGTCATCAAACTCAACTTTTGGTTTGTACTGAGACGCTGGTTGTGAAATAAGTTTAGCCATTGGGGTTTCCTCCTTTGCTTTGGTGATTTAAAAACCAAAAACCCTCCACAAATCACAGCGAGGAAGACAGAGACAGAGAGAGAGAGAAGGAAGAGGGGTACCACAGGTGGCCTCACAGAGACAGGTAACAAAAGCAGAGAACGAAGGTTATCAAGGCCGGTCACCGGATAAGATGGCGGAAAGGTGGGCGAGGAAGCGTCTGAAAAGACGGCGGCAGCGACGAAGCTCCCCAAAATGCAAGGAACCAAGCAGGTTGTTGTTGTTGTTGTTTTCCTTTCCTCCCAGTCACTCGCTCATTCTCGGAGATAAATGTTCAGTCGGGTGGCCTTCTCTCGCGCGAAGTGCGGGCATGCGTCTCCTCCAGGCTCAATCCCAGCCATTATCCTTGATCATGTGCGCTAATTCAATGATGTATTTACCTTCTTTATACTTTTGACTGCTTTCAAACGCATGTTCCTTTGAAACAAAACAGATGGTATTAAAATAGTACATATATAATTAGAGGAAGGTTGAGGGGAAAGCGTTTATTTTAAAGATTTAGAATGGGCCGTTCAACTGAGGACGACTTGGAAAAGATTAAGGGGGAAATAATGGGTCTTTGCGAGGACCTGAATGGGCGGAATAGCAGGTTCCTCAAACCTGGTCCCAATTAGTTTGGACCGCAACCTCCATCATCCCACAGGCTATGGGCCTTCCTGTGTGGATGATGGGAACTACAGTCGAACATCTGCAGAGGCAACAGACTGGAGAAGGTGGGGACAAACAGTAGCCCATGAATACTTGGCTGAAATCTAATGCTGAAATCTAATCCCTTAAAGTGGTGAAAAAGAAAATAAAAGTCTGTGGTGGGATGAACTAGATGACCTTCAGGTTCCACTCAAGATCTTCAATTCAATGTTCCCTAATCCATCAGCTTTTAAACAACATTTTAAGCAACCCATCAACAGCTGTTTTAGCCACTGATCTTTTTTTGTCCTTGCTAAGTGTACTCGACAAAATGACTACAGGACTCTGTTCAACAGTTCTGTCCTGTGATTCTGTGTTTCCATCCTTCGAACCCACTTCTGTTTCAGCACCGGGGCAGGATCCAGGGAGGCAAAGGAGAGGCACAGGGTGACCTCCAGTCTGAATGCTCACTTTAATGTCTTAATGCTGTCTCTTTGGAAAAAAAAAGGGTGCCGATGGTTTAACGCGCATGAGCCCCGCCTAAATCTGCACCGTTCAGGGCATCTACAGGGAATTAAGGGATCTGTCCGCCCTCCAGACAGGTTGGACGACAAAGCCCATAATTCACTGTTACAGCAACCATCAACCAGAAGAGGCATTCTGTCTCCTGGGCGTTTTAGAAGAGGCATTCTCTCTGTTGCAGAAGAAGCATGCCCAAAGGCCCTCGAAACAATCGCTTGTCAGATTACGCCCATATTACACCGACAGGCGGAAATGGCTTGAGCTGGTATAAACCAGCAGCTGCATCCTTAGGAGATTAAGAAGAAGATAGACGTTTTTCATCCCCCACAAAGACAGATACTCACATATTTCCAGCCCAGCGTGGTTTTGCAGTTTTCACAGTAAATGTCGGCGACCGCATGCAGTCCCGTTAACAAAACCCGTTCTTCTGCGGGGCCACAGCCTACATTAACTCTACAGGCAAACAGGTAGGGAGAGAGGAAGAAAAAAATTAAACATTTACTTCCGAGATGGGGTTCCCCACAAAGACAGATACTCACATATTTCCAGCCCCGCGTGGTTTTGCAGTTTTCACAGTAAATGTCGGCGACCGCATGCAGTCCCGTTAACAAAACCCGTTCTTCTGCGGGGCCGCAGCCTACATTAACTCTACAGGCAAAGAGGTAGGGAGAGAGGAAGAAAAAAAATAAAACATTTACTTCCGAGATGCGGTTCTCGCGCTCATCGCTCATAGTGTTGTTAAAGTTGCTGGGGCTTGTGACAACAGATCTCCTCCTGTGTCACATACACCAGAACATGCATGATGGGAATTGTCAGAGGTACCACCGATGGCGAGATGGTTCACCATCAGTATATTTAGGGGAAACTGTTATATTGTCCTTTAAGACACAACCCTCCTTCGCATAGCAAACAAATCTAATGGACGGACTGCTCGCATACAACAAGGCCTAACCATCGTTGGTTTCTAACCGCATAGCATAGCAAACAAATCTAATGGACGGACTGCTCGCATACAAGGCCTAACCATCGTTGGTTTCTGTACTGAGATCTTTCGAACCAGGGTCCTGCCAGAATTGAGCTTCCTGGTTTCTGCTGATGCAGGCTATCAATGTTGATGGGGTCAAGTTCTCAATTTTGGAAGATTTATCCCATCACTAGTTACAGGAGAAGTGCACAGGAAGAACTGAAATCTAATGGACGGACTGCTCGCATACAAGGCCTAACCATCGTTGGTTTCTGTACTGAGATCTTTCGAACCAGGGTCCTGCCAGAATTGAGCTTCCTGGTTTCTGCTGATGCAGGCTATCAATGTTGATGGGGTCAAGTTCTCAATTTTGGAAGATTTATCCCATCACTAGTTACAGGAGAAGTGCACAGGAAGAACTGATCTGGCTTTGGAGCACTTTCGAACTTTAATTCATTAACTAAATAAATCAATTAAATAAACTAACAAACACATAATTAAACCTGCAGCTTATGTTGAAGTTAGGGTTTGCCTCTCTCTCTCCTGCCACACTGCTTAAGTGGCAAGGAAATAGGGTTTGCCTCTCTCTCTCCTGCCACACTAGGCAGGCAGATGATAAGACAGGGACAAACCATGAGAGTAAGTCTGCATCACAGCTGGGAGGTAACTAGTTACAGGTAACATACTTACCTGCAACTAGCTGCTTTCTGAATTACAAGTAGGAAATTAATGTAGCAATTAAGTCACAAAATAACTTACTGGGAGTTACAACGTTAAGTAAAAGACCCCCCTTTATGCCATTCTTTTATCATGCTTAAGTGGCAAGGAAAGTATTTGTCAGTCTGCTGTAAATACAGTATTTGCAGTGTGCAATATCAAAACTGGCCACTAGATGGCCCTGGAGAGCACTTAATTTTCTAATCTGTAACATTGAGCCCATGGCACAATGAAGTACTTGTGCGAGTAGAGCAGTAACAAAAACAGCTGAATGTCAAGAGGAAACCAACATGTCCCTTCTAAAAACAACATTCCAACCTCTGGTGTGGATGTCACAACACACCAAAGTTTAAACAATCTACAGCTAGTAAACCCAAAACAACTTGTGGGCCAGTGCTTTGTGATGGTTTACAAGCCATAGCTTGTTTTCAGAGGTGGAGTTCTACATCCCAACGAACTTAATCTAGAAAAAAACCCACAATATGACCTACTAAGATGAGGAAATATGGTTAGTGTGGGTAAAATCGAAAGTTCCACCTGGACAAGGATCAGGTTTGCCACAATAGCACATCAGATGATGGAAAGTGCTGCCTTCTGTTGCTTAAACTTGAGAAACTGGTTTTCTAAGGTATACTGCTCCTGAACCTGGAGGTTTCCTTTAGTGAACGACTGAAACCCTTCACAAACAGGGGCGCCCTCTATAATTTGCCATTTCCAAAGTTGGCTAGAAAATAGTTCATTTTCGGGGAGGTGCACCTGAACCCCTCCCCCCCTCAAAAAAAAAACCCCACCGACTGCAGTTTGTTACTACAAACCGAGACACTCACACGGAATTGAAGAGATAGGCCCGCCCTTGGCTTCCTTGGAAAGACTGTAAAGCAAGCAGAAAAAAAAAATAACCCAGAAAAATCAATTGCAATTGGTAAGATAGTTATCCTGACATGAACAGACAAAAGAAAAATAAAACAATACAGCCTCTTTTTTTTGGGGGGGGGATGTTGGTTTGGAGCAGATCCCGGATTTTTACAGGCTAACGTCAATGGCTAATGTGAACCAGAGCAGACACACTGAATTAACTGCCGAGTGGGAAGTCAATTAGTAAATCCCTTCTACTCCATAGTTCTACTCTGGTCAGGATAAGACACTGAATTTAGGCCCTTTATTTTTAGGGGCAACGATGGGGACGCCATGCCTCTTCATCCAAAGGAGTCAGAAATGGGTGAACCCCCAGCATCAAGGGATTGAAATGAAATGTACATTCTTAGAAAGAAAGAAACTCTTTGTTTTGTTTCAAGACAGAGAAATGAATTTTTGCTTATACCGAGCATTGTTTCTAAAAATGGGATACGGTATTGTCAGAGTTCTGACTGCAAACTTAATTCCCACCAAGGAAATTTCAGCTCTCGTCATCACAAGGAACCTCCTGCAACATCCACAAGCCAAGATTCATCTGCCATCTGCTTCCAGCTGCCAGGCACCTTTATAGGCGGTCACCAACCAATCAGATCACTGAAACCAAACAGCCAGCCTACTGCATCCAGCAAACCCCGCCTCCATTTAAAGGGCCACTCTCCCCCTCATTTGTTCATTGGTTTCCCCCTATATTTGTTATCTGTCTCTCTCTTTTTTGGTAGGGTGGAAGGCAGGCCGGCTTCTTCCTCTTGGACACCCCTCATCTTTCCATGGAGGTGCCTGGTTTGCATTAAAATTGGGGGGGGGGAGCTCCCTAGTTCAAAAAACAAAACTTTATAAGTCAAACAATGGAAAACAAGAACTCACATTCTGGAACAATCTCCATTCTGCCCCACAACCCAAATAATATATATATACAGTATATTTTAAAAAAGGAAAGAAATGAGTTTTTAATTTTCCATCAAAATAGCCAGGAAGATTTCCTCTGCTGCTCGCTCTAAGAAAGCCACCCCTAATGGTCGGCAGAAAAACGGCTTTATTAAATGTCTAGACTAGGACTCATACTGGGCCCATAAAAATTTGAAGCCTGCCCATAGAGAAAATCCTCTGCCACAGAAAATTACATTGATGGCTTATCACCAAAAGGTCAAAACCAGTTGCGTTCTGATTTAAAATAGATATTTAAAAAAATCTCAACTGGATGGTCACCTGGCAGGAAAATCTGGCTCGCCCCAGGAGACCATGTACAATCAACAGCATCAATTATATTAGAAATTTATTTCATGCCTCTGTAACACAGATTTTCTAGGCTGAGTTCTCTGTGTCATGAACGTCACAAGCCACGACTTGGAGGTGAATCTAAGCAAGGAACTAAGAATAATTTGTTTCCAGCGATTCTTCACACAACGCAGCAGGGTTCCCCCCACAAGCCAGCAAAAACACAACTTTGATTAACCCCCCAAAGAGAAACTCAATTACCATAGGAACACTTAACAGAGTTCAGATCCCAAGGGTCTGGTCTGGTCGATTCTCTCCCCACTCCACCGGTCAGGGAGGATGATGCAGATCTATTTTTAATCAGCTGTTTCAGAATTCCTGCCCCCTCTTGACAGCTCGGAATCTCTCCCAGATGCTTGTTGTTACGTATTCCCACCACACACACACATACATACATATCTTCAACTCGCCCATCCCACGGAAAAACAGAAGAGCCCCCTGCCCTGCTCAGAACAATAAAAATATATTGAGTTTCGCAACCTGTCCAGGAATAGCAAGGGGAAAGGATGATTCGTACATTAGCCCACGGCAGGAGAAAAGAGCTAGCTGTCCAGGGAAGGCTGGATCAAGAGGAAAGGTGACGCTAAACGGATTATCCGCACTTCGGTTTATGCAAATATAGGCTTCCGTGAATCAAAGGATCTCCCCAGGCACGGGGAAGGAGGAAAGCAGCCTTGTGGGCTCAAGGTGGCCGGCTGAGATTTCCAAACCGGCCAAGCGAGGCTTCTGTGACCGCCGGACCACCTTGAAGGTGGCGGGGACTCCCATTTCCTCAAACCGGCTTTTTTTTCTCTTCCATGGGAAAGTGAAGGGGAACCCACCTAGTCCTGTTTTGGACTCGATCTCCCTGTCGCTCTTCCAGATCCGTTTGGAGATCAACTCAACATCCAAACTCATCTCACCCTTTGTGTGTAATTAAAAGCTCATCATCTGAAAAACATTTTGCGTCTCCTGCAGTCTTTACAGTGGAGGATGTGTGTGTGTGTCTCCGTTAGACTCTGCATGTGTGTGGCTCAGGGGGGCTTGGGGGGGGTCTCCGGCTGCGGAGCCAGGGGCTGTGGGTTCGATTCCTCATTGTGTCTCCTTGACAGAGGCTGGACCCGATGATCGGCCACAATGACGATTGTTTTATTCCCAGGGATATATCTCAAGGAATGACCAAAGCTCTTACGGCATCTCCCAGCAAGGCGCAAGGAGAGAACCGCTGAGAGGGATCTGCTGTTTGCTTCATTACCAGGGAAGATCCTTGCTCAGCGACTATATTTCTGACGGTCCAACTGGCAGAAATCATTCACCGTGGACGACAGCAGCAACAATGCTTGTTCAAATGAAGGCAGCAAAATCCTGTCTCCCTCCCGGGTGCAGTTCTGTCGGTCTGTTGCAACCCTCTGCAGCCCCTTCAGAGGAGCACGTAATTCAGGTTTGGTCTTAGCGGAAAGAAGCCGCTCAATAAAACCATCAGATTTACATGCCTCTCTGCCCCAAGAGGCTTTTTCCAAAGCTTGAGCAGGTAAACATACAGAGAGGCTGTTGTGTATTTTCCAGGCTGTTTGGCCGTGTTCTGAAGGTTCTTCTTCATAATGTTTTGCCAGTCTCTGTGGCAGAGACTGGCATCTTCAGATTAATAAGGTTAAGTCTCTGTGGCCGGCATCTTCAGATTAATAAGGTTGTGAATTATCCTTATTATAATGCAAAGTAATTCAGAGGTGGAGGGTGGGCAATTAAGAGTCATTTGCTTTGCAAAAGACTCACTTCTCATAGATCTGAAACCTGTTCAGAAGGGTTTGTTTTATAGGGTCAATGCCACTGCCTGTATTTTTCCTACAGTGTCAGCCGATGTCCCAGGCAGTGGAAATCCCATGGGGAAATACTGTATATTAAAGAAACGGCAGAAACTCCTACAGCATCTCCTGTCCAACCAGCAAGAATTTTGCACGGGCTTCATTTCTTGGATTAAGACCTTCTGTTTGAAGAGGAGAAAAAGCAAAGTGTAGGAGGCCAACAGAAAATTCTCTACATATTTTCATAATCAAGTGCATTGCTGGGAGATTATTTCTTCTACTTAAAAAAAAGGGAGAGAGAGAGACAGACAGACAGACAAGACAGAGGGAGATATCCAGAAGACAAAAAACACAATGTATTGTTGGGATTGTATTTGGATAAGTTTTTGCAAGATGAAATGGGAAAGAAAACCAACCTTTCCACCCACATTTAAGGCATCAGAATGTTTTCCTTCCAGATTTTAAAACTACACACTGCCACGATGTCCCTCTGGGCATGTACAGAATTCTCTCCCCCCTCCCCCTTGCGGATGATCTGCTAATACCAACTTTTCTGTGGTTCATGGTCTTGCTAGGGGTTATAAGCCAAGAATGTCATTCCCTGTCATCTAGTCTATTTTTAGGCACCATGCAAAAAAGAGCCTCATCCAGCTCACAACGACAGGAACAACACTGCTTGGGGACTCGGGAACGTCTGAAGATCTGCACATCAGATTTGCAGATTTAAATCCGTACAAGGAAAGCCGAGATCTCTTAGCAGCTCACCCAGAATCTTGACAACATTTGCTTTCTTTTAAGGCAGCACAAGTTTCTGGACCTCATTATGTATGGCCACAGAGGAAAGAGGTTGTTTAGTAATAGCGGCAGCCGTTTGTGAGTGTGTTTCAGTGAGAACAGCAGGATGGGCACAGTTGTAGCCCATGGGATGCTGTTGGACTACAGCTCCCATCAACCACAGCCAATACAGAGGAGTGCTGGGGTCTGTAGTCCAAACAATGTCTGGAAGTATGTACTTCTTCCATCTGTACAGTACTGGGTGTCACTCTCTTGTGTCCTGCCCACTGGCCTCTGTCCTTGGCTACTTGAAGCTGTCTGGATTTCAGAAACACCAGTCCAAATGCTGGCAGGTTCTGGGTTCAAGTCCATGCCAGTTTTGAATGCGATCTGTCATCACCCAGATACCTCAGTGAGAAATTGCAGCTCCTGCTGCTCTTCCTAAACATCTCCACAACATTAAAAATCCTTACAAATGGGTGCTTAAAAAAAAACATGCACAAAAGGAAATTATCCCACAACAGCTTAGCCATCTCCCTCTGCCTTGGCTCAGACTGCTAAGGGCTTTCTTGGCCAGACAACAAAAGCCACAACAGCTTCTTTGAGATCAAGGCACCAAAGAGCTGAAACCGAAAATCTGCGTCTTCGCACCTACCAGACGCAAAAGGCCGTCCAACGAACAAGCCAAAGAACTTCCAACTGCATCAAGTTTCCAGATGTTCACTTCCTAAGATCAAAACTGGGGGCAGTCAGGAGGGACCCATTTTTATACCGAAATAGAAACCGCAGATGACATGCCCCCGTTTTCTTTTTCTTTTCCTGGAAAAGGATCCCCTGCTCGACCGAAAAAGTTTGTGAAGTTTTGGAAAGGGGACAGGGAGCAGTTGCCAAAATCAAGGCTTTTATTATGGCAGCCCAATGGTCCCCTTTCCTCTTTACAAGGGGGGGGGGGTGTGTGTCCTAGAGCAAATCAAGCCTGAACTCTCTCCGGGAGGAAAAATATTGAAACAGAGGCCGTCCGGACTTTGGGCTTATCACGAGGAGGCAGGATGATCTGGAAAAGACAATAATGCTGGGAAAAGTGGAAGGCAGCAGGAAAAGAGGAAGACCCGACACGAGACGGACAGAGTCCCTTAAGGAAGCCACAAGGTTGAGTTTACAAGAGCTGAGCAGGGCAGCTGAGGACAGGGCATGGCGGGGATCGCTCATGCGTGGGGTCATCGTAGGCTGGAGGCCCCTTGATAGCACAGAACAATGAGTCTTGATATCCTTGGGGAGCGAGGCCCAAGGTTGGGGACCACTGTCCTTGGGGACTGGGGTTTACTTCCCCGATGAACCTGTTTCACTGGTCTGCTGGAAGAATGAAATTTATAGGAGAAGAGGTAGGCTCTCCTGAGCTCTGCACGGAGGGGCAGGATTCCAATCAATCAATCAATCAATCAATCAATCAATCAATCAATCAATCAATCAATCAATCAATCAACAACCAACCAATCAATCAATCAACCAACCAACTAACCGACCAACCCACCCATCCATCCACTGCTAATCAAATACCAGGAAAATTTTAAAAAGCAACTGGTCATATCACTTTTTCTAAGCTTAATGAAAATGTTAAAGATGCAGAGTGAAATGTTTTAGGAAAAAAACGAGCCCCTGGTTCTGCAGCTCCCTTCAATCCAAGCCAGCAAGGCCAGTGGCAGGGGATGATGGTCTTTGTTATCCAACAACCTCTACAAGACCTAGTATAGAAACCAATGTCCAGTTCCCAACCCAGCCTGGCTGACTTTTTTTTTTAACTTATTGCTCGTAGCCAAAGGGTTAGAAATAGTAGAGGGAATAAATGTTCAAATACTCTTTCCGCAGAGGAAAAGAGAGAAACGGAACATTTATGGTCTTAAGAGCATCGTTCTTTGCCTGGGAAATGAAAACTGTGCTATCGCCCCAGGTTTCATAGTACTTTAGTGTTGCAAACCGCTCAGAGCAGGGCTTTGCATTAAGTCAGCGGTATACAAATGCATGAAATAAATATTATATACTGCTTACATACTGCCCCCAAAGTGCTTAAAGTGCTCCCTCTGGTGGTTGACAGCAGAATTGTCAGCGGTATACAAATGCATGAAATAAATAAGTAAAAGCAAAGGGGGGGGGCTGCTTCTATACTGCCCCCAAAGCGCTTAAAGTGCTCCCTCTGGTGGTTGAGAGCAGAATTGACTGACCTTGGAAGGACGGGAGGTTGAGTGAACCTTGAGCCGGCGACCTGGGATGGAATCCAGATTGTGAGCAGAGTTTCAGCCGCAGTACTGCAGTTTAACCACTGCCCTATAGAGGCTATATAAACCAACACACTCCCGGCATTTCCGGGGAGGGGAGCCCACGACAGGGGCTGCCTACCTTCGAAATGAGCTCGTCATGGTTCGCTAAGTGGGCCCGGCAGTGGATGCAGCTGTACGTCCGGTGGCAGGAGGGCAGGTAGGCTTGGAACGTTTTGGAGCGCGTCATCTTCACCATCGGAGCCGCCGAGCGCTGGGCGAACTCGGGGTTAGCCCACGAGGCGTTCCCACAGGACGGGTCGCAGGGGAAACACTGGAACACGCAGGTAAAGGCCGTGGTTTGGCAGGGGGCCGGCGTGGGGCGGGCTCCACACGCCGGCAACGGCTTCGGGGGACGAGAAGCTGGCACGGGGGGGGAGCAGTCGACCTGCATGGACCCCGGATCGAGAAAAATGGGACCGAAGGGGGAGAGGAGGAGAAACAAGTGGAAAAAAAGTTAGGAAAAGTTTGAAAATATTAACCAGACAAAAGTTTCCTCCCAGGACTCAAAAGTTGTAGTCCCCTAGGCAAAGTTTAAAATGCTCCGAACCCGATGCGTTTTCAAGAGTTGAAGCTTTGAACATTCCGACATTTTAAGTTTCTAGTCCTGATCGAGGCCCTCTAATGATTTTTGCAAAGAAATAATTGACAACACGGCCCCCTTTTTTTTTTTTAAAAAAAAAATGGGCTTCTAAAAAAGTGACTTTCCTTACGAGTGCCATCTTATGTAGAGAGTTTCCTGAGTCATTTCCGATGCGTTTTCAAGAGTTGAAGCTTTGAACATTCCGACATTTTAAGTTTCTAGTCCTGATCGAGGCCCTCTAATGATTTTTGCAAAGAAATAATTGACAACACGGCCCCCTTTTTTTTTTTTAAAAAAAAAATGGGCTTCTAAAAAAGTGACTTTCCTTACGAGTGCCATCTTATGTAGAGAGTTTCCTGAGTCATTTGGTAAAATACTGATCGAGGCCCTCTAATGATTTTTGCAAGGAAGAAATAATTGACAACATGGCCCTTTTTTTTAAAAAAATGGGCTTCTAAAAAAATGGCTTTCCTTACGAGTGCCATCCTATGTAGAGGGTTTCCTGAGTTATTTGGTAAAATAACCAGAAGATAAAAAGCAAAAAAGAGACATGTGGGATTTTTAAGCTGCGTGGTCACAACACAATTGACTAGATAGGCGGGGTATAAATGAAATAAATAAATAAATAAATAAATTTCAAGATGATCACCAAGTTTTTTTTTAGGGTAAATTTTTGTGGCCTGGAGCCCATTTTGCATCTGAAGAAGCGGGCTGGAGGTTTATGGAGTGATCTGGAAACTAGGTTTTTTTTTATACCCTATAAACCAGTGTGCCCCGAAACTCTTTGCTCTGCTTCGACAGGTTTAGCAGCTTGCTTTTAGGCTGGCCTGTATCTCTGCAAGACATCTAGATTCTAGAAGAACAGGGATGGCCTCAGAAAAGAAAAGGTCAAAGATAAGAGAGCAGAACTTTCCCAGAAAGTTTTCGCAAGGAAGTCAAGACAGAATACAGTAGAGCACTGGTTAGGCAAACAGAGAGGCCCAGAAATTTGACCCCAACCCCACGACCAAGAATCAAGTTTCTAGACCTCTCTGTTCTTCCTGATCAAAAAAGCCTCCCGTAGAACCATCAGAAGCGTAAGAACAGGTTTCTTCCATTTGAACAGAGAGAACTCTAGTTTATCTTCCAATTCCACCTTGAAGGGACCCCCCCACACACCTGGATGCCAATAACACCCCTCAGTTACTAAATATAGTAACACAGACAAACTATAGGAAGGAATATCAAGTGATACTTTTCTGTTTTGTTTTTTCTTCTTCTCCAACTGAATAATTTCAAAAACAGTGACACTTAGAACCTGGCCCTTTTGAGTTTGTGGGGTTCATTTTGCTTCTCCTCCCCAACCCCAATTTTAATAATAACGATGCCTGAAGAAGGTTCTTGGAAATGCAACTTATCTGTAACGTTTAAGTGATGCAATAAAAATCTTACCCAACAAACTTTTGCCGACAAACAAACAAATAAGCAAATATTCTATGGATGTGCATCCTTCCAAAGAAAAAGAAAACATTGATATTACTGCATGAGTGTGTGCGTGCCTACCTCACAGAGCTGTTGTGAAAGTTAACCAAGAAGAATCTCTCAGGGGCTGCCCCCAACTTTCTGTACACAAAAAAGAGGCCTGGGTGCAAAATGTATAAGAACCTGCTTTGCAGGGGGAAGAGTTTCTGGTAAATTTTCTTGTTTGCTACACAGCAAAAGTACAGTACAGAGATTCACAGAGGATGATAGCTTCACATTCCCCAGATGGTCCACCCCTTTCTCATTAATTAGTACATATGTTATTAATAACTCACTCTGGGACATTAGTAATAGGAAGAATAACGAATTTTCATTACTTACGGTTGTGAACAGGTCAGCAGCAAACTAACAGCCCTGCTGACTTCCAACAGACTAAAGAGAGGGAAAAGAACATTACACAGAGAGGCGGGGCTCTCTTTGAATTCAGAGGTCGGAAAGGAACGATTGGTTGGTGCCGGAGAGACGGACAGTCGACCCAGATTGGTCCCTCCCAGTTGCTCAAACTACAGACAGCATGAAAGGTTGTAAGAACTCCCCAGACTTTTTACAGGCCCAAGCCCCTGAAACACACATAGACATCCTGAGGACTACACAAGGCTGAATTCGACACTCCTGTTGCTTACAGGGCCCTGTATGATGATGTGGATGGGAAATCAGTAGATGAGATCAAGGGAAAAATGCAGAGAGTCAACGGTGTATGGGGGAAAACTGTTGCTACGATCGGAGGAAGAAGATGCCTGAAGCAAGATTCTTTATCTCCCCCAAAATAAACTAAAAACCGTGTCCGTTCTGGAGAAAATTCCCTGCAGCGCATAAATGCATGCAACACCCAGTATAATAAAGCCTAGCCATAGGGTTTGCCGGACCAGTTTTGCTGCTGATCTTCAATGAGGTATGAGGTGACCCCAAACACTCTCTCAACCGGGTCTCTCCCTCCTGTTTTTGTCAGTCAAGGGAGGAGGAAAAGTATGGTGGGACAGCTGGTTGCTGGTAAACTTTACAAACGGTGTACCTTTTTTTTGGGGGGGGGGGAAGCAAGGAATGGAAAGGAACAAATTCCACCCATTCATTAAAAACTAAGACGCTGCCTCTCTCTGAGCGCGTCTATGCTCACCTCCCTGGTTCTTCGCCTGAAACAGGGCAAAGCTACAGACCGCCGAGGTGAAAGGATGGACCGCAGCATTTTGGAAGGCGTGCGGGAGGCTCCATTGTGGAGGGTTTGTTCCCGCTAGAAAGAAAAACCTGCAAGAAGAAATCTAGCAACGGCTTTGTTTTTGGTGCCTCCTTGAGGTGCTAGCTTACTAGCTGCAGGGTAGCCCCTTGTACCTTAACCCACAAATTCTTTTGAATCACCACCGTTTTCTTCTGCCAGTCCACCGTGGTCCAGTCCCAGAGCACAAGTGGAACACTAACACGCCATCAGATGTTGCTGACTCAAACTCCCATTATCCCCTGGGCAGGCTGGGGGTCCACAGCACCATCTGGGGGCATCACAGATTCCCCAGCACCCCTCTTAACACCTCAGCGGAGGGCGTAAGATAAATGCTCCTCGGGTGGCAGGGTTGTCAAGAGGTTCCCCGTGCTTTCTGTTAGGATGATGGTTCTGCCTCAGCCTCCAGAAAAACCTCCACCGAGCCCGGGACAAGGGAGAGTCAGAAGAGGAGCCTCGTCCGGACAAAGCCCCAGCCTGGCCCTGATCCAAAACACCCCAGAAGGAAGGAAAACAAACACCCCACCTAATTTCCCAATAAACATCTGGCTCCATCGTGCAGCTGCCAACAGCTGGAAGGAGCTCTAATTTACAGAGACGCCACTATTTTAAGGAAAAACAGGGTGGGGGCGGGGGAAGCATGCCCGGCCGGCTCCTGGAATATCTGCCGCCTCCCGAGGATGGAAAGGGAGGGTGGACGGTCCCCTTTAAATAGTTCACTCGGGCTTTTTCCATCCTGCTTTCTGAAGCTGCCAGAAGTTACCAGAAAGAGAGACAGAGAGAGAGAGAGAGAAAGAGTTGGCTTTCTTGGGGGCTTTGACACACAAGCTGGTTTGACGCACAACCCCATGAGCGCCCATTCTTAAGCCACAGAGAAAAGGAAAGCGAGGGGGGTAAGGCAGCACAAGAGCACTGCTATCCACTAGCATGTCACCATATATATAAAAAGCAATTTGTCAGTTTTACCATGAGCCTGAAAACATGGTTGTTGTTTTTTTGGGAGGGGGGGACACCTCCTAGAATATATCAGCCAGCATGCGGGGGGGGGAATTATGGGATGGGATGACCCTAAAAAAAACACACACACACACCCATTTCTTTAGCCTTCTTGTCAACCCGCTAATCAGTAGCTGCTCATTACAGCTCAAAATGGTCAAACTCAAGTCTCTAGTATCCCATTCCTTCCAAGTAATTAAAGTAGGGTGTTGGTTTTTTTTTAGCAGTTTCTATAAAAACTTAAAAAACAAAATAAAACAAAACACACCCAGAATGTTACAATATACCGGCTTGGGGTATAAAATACACCAAAGCAATTAAGACCAGAGGGACTAAAATAACTAAAAAAGTAACTAAAACCACAAAAGAAATCAAAATATGACTATTATAACATTAAGATGTCATTATACTCTAAATTATTTATGGCTTAGGTTCCTCTAGGAAAAGGAGGCCATTCCAAGGAACCAGTTACTTGCAACGAGTAAAATCCTAGCTTTTGACTACAGTATTAGTCTTTACTTGTACAAGATACACTTCATCTACAAAACCTTCAAAGTTTTATTAGGTTTAGTCTCTCTCCATGGAACTGCTCTCTCGTTGTCATCTGCAATTCAACTCAAGATGCTGCTGAATGAGAACTCCCATGAGTTCTGGCCACTACCAGCTAAGGCTGATGGGAGATGTAGTCCAATGACATCCGGAGGACGACACCGTTCTCATCTCTGTTAGAGATAAATATATTTCAAAAACTGGACATTCAAGATCTTCTGGGTGTAAAACCGCAGAGCGATGGCACCTCCGTTCTCCACTTCTAATGACTCAGCACTGGACTCTGATCTGCCGAACGCCTGAACTCCTTCTAACAAAAAGAACTATATTTGTTTGAGATGAAACGGGCCGATAGGAACATTTTCTCTCTGCAGCATCCATCAACAGGGGCGACTTCTCCTCCCCGCGGCAGGCAAAACCCACAGCTTGCCAGGCCATGCAACTCTGTGCAGGTCTACTTGAGAGTAGGCCCCACCGCATACAGTGGCATTTACTCTCAAGTCGTGACTGGGCAGAAGCATCGCCCTAAAAGAGGTAAGAAACCAAATTCAGATGCAAGATGCAAGAATATATTCCCAGCCCATCCCCTTAGTTCTGTCTGCATACTGCCTGCCGAGTTCTCTTTAAACCAGATGTGCTGGGCTCCAAACTCCGAATCCCAGGATCCCCTGTGCTGTCCAGATGGGTTCCAGGAGCCATGCAT